TCTAAAATTCATCTGTTGAAATACTACATCTTTTTTCAAGATCCAATTCAAATAGCACCTTTTCCCAAAAACCTTCCCAGACACATCTCCTACCTCAGTAAGAACTCCTTTTTCTACTCTTTCCTCATAATCTATCCCATAAAATTCTGTTATAACTAATGTCAGTCCGTCTTATACCTAAATTATATAGGAATACATCTATCATTGCCACCAACTGATAGATGTATTCCTATATAATTTAGGTTCTCCTCGAGAACCTGACTGGATCTTTTTTTTTCTCTTCAGTCTTTCATCTGTCACAAGATTGAACTGAAGCAAAAAATGCCAAATGAAAATATATCTTCTAGGAACTTAGCTATGTCCCGAGTTACGTCAACTTCCTTGACTAATTTACTTCCATGTCTTAGTTTAATGGATTAAACTGAGCAACCACAAAATTTACCACCTTGCTTGATCTTTCATCAAGGAAGAAATCATAGTGATCATTTTTATCCTTATTTTAATTTTCAGGTTGTAGTATCAATTAGTCATATTTCTAAATTTACATATCATGTTTCTACTCACCTTACTAATATTTAATAAGCTTAGATATTTTGGAAAGGATGAAGAAAGGAAAGGAATAGGATACCATTTTCAGGGCCTTTAGATGAATACTCTCTTTCCTAATTAGCAATTGTAAGAAGACTTAAAAGATTTAGACTGGGGTATATTTTCATTTTCTCTTTTCCACTACAAAATGACCAGCCATCTTCTGAAGCCCAAATAGACTTAATTTAATGCATATGAGACATAACATTCTTACTTCCATATATTACCATCTTGATTAGGCAAGCAATACAATTCTGACACAAAATACACCAGATAAGGACATAATTAAATATTTAGTATCGTTAGCAGGTTCAGGAACTCTTTCTCTAGTAGTAATAGAAGCTAGCAATGAGAAGTAAATGAAAATAGGGCCACATGAGGTCATATTCATTAAAAAAATTTAAACTACATGGTAAAAATTATGTAAGAGTTTTGTTAAAAACTAATTAATATTGTTTTAATTGTGGACACAGAAATAATAATACTTTATGGACTATGTTGTAATAGTGACAACCATAATTTTTTAAAAATATGAATAAATAACTTGATAGACCAACAAAATAGCATTTAGAAACTGAGACTTTATTATGTAGAAGATTTCAAATTTCAGATAGAGTTAAAATATATCAAAATAACATTTCAGCAATCCTAAATGTACAGAATTGCATTATGGATTAAAGTTCTCATTTTCTTCTATAAAAGTTGAATTACTTGTTAAAATGCATGGAACTTACCTGCAATAAGATCATATATTCCACATTTAAATAGTAATGGAGTACAGATGAGAATCCAGAAGCACAAGGAAAACTAAAATAGATGGCCAAAGCTCAAGCCCAAAACCCAATTCACTTACTCCTATTTATTTCCATTTTATATCTTCATTTATAAATTACAATGAATTTGGCAAACTGTTTTACCACTATAGATCAATAGCTGCCAATCAGAAGGAAAGAAGACCCCGTTAAACCAGGAATACAACCACCCTGGAAACTGTTGATGGCTGACAATCTGCTGATGAAGAGGAAAGTAGAAAACAAAAGGCAGACATGAGAATTACCAAAAAATCACAGTTTATAAGAGAGGGCCAAATACCCTAAGTAGCACCTAAAAAAAAATTAACAGCACTCTTAAATCCTACAATAATTTGCCATTGACTATAAAAAATACTTGATAATCTGTAAGTGCCATGCATTCTCCAGTCATGGGATCCAAGCTCTCATCCTGATTTTTGGCACCAATAACCAAGTGAAAGTAGACAAAGTTTCTCATCTGAAGGCAACAATAATAATCTCTGCCTACTATATAGGGTTGCTGAAAATCAAATGCGATAACCCTTGAAATCTAGTACCTTATACCTTAAGAAATAGAGCAGTGTGTACTATATATTTTCAAAAACGTTTGGTTTTATAATTATTCATTTTAATTTTTATTTTTAGATCTTAAAATATATTACATACTCTTTTATTAACAGAAATATTACTTAATTGGGTATACCCCCTGAGAATTGTGGATAGTTGCAGTATTTTAAATATGTATGTTTTCAGCTTTGGCAAGAGTATCAAATTTGGGTCATCAAAAATTTTGAGACTCACCTCTAGTTCACTCTCTCCACTGGCTTAGGTGCCAAAAAAACAACACTCTAGCCTGGACCAGCACCATTCATTAGCTGTTGGGCCTTGGGCAAAGTTACTTGGCTGAATCTTCTCAGAACCTTTAGGAATAGCTATCCTTTTGTGTTTTGTTTTAGTTTTTTATTATAGAACTGTTGTTAACATAATCCTTATATAACTGACAGAACTTTAGTTTTGTAGAGCACTTCCATATCATCAGAAATTTACACCAACACCTTATGAGGTGGGTATTATCCCTTTATATTACAGAAAGAACAGGGGAAAATACAAACAAAAGTCTTGCCAAGTTACACAACTAGTTTGCAACAGAAGAAATAGGACTTCAAGGAAATTATTAAAGGCTTGTGCATATGTTTGTAAAAAATATTTGCAAAATACTGAGTGTTAAGAGGATTGTTTGGTTATTTGTTATAATCAAGATGACAAAAAAATAACTTACTTAAGCAAAAGTAACTGAGAAATGCAATACTATGCTTTTCCTTGACTCAGACAACCTATGTGTAACTTTTTTCAAAAACCAGAATAGCTAAATTTATTTTGCTGAGTTATTGTTATTTTAGTATTGACATTTTGAAGTTAGCACCTCATGCAGAGAAAAGTTTGCAGCTTTGCTTCAATTTTGGTTTGGCTGAAGTATCTTTTTCAAAAGCACAGCAATTTAATGCTTTACATTTAAAAAATCATATTTGCAATGGAAAATATACAAGTAATTTCAAAAAGTACACACTCAGAAAACTTACCCTTTAAAGTAATATGTTAAAATAAAATAGAATAGTCTGCTATTTTATCTTGTCTATGAATTTTCCATGGCCCATGGCTACTAGTCTTTTTAATGCAGTTGCCAAAATTTTGTGGATGATTTACAATGGATGTTTTAAAGAAAAAACATAAAAATTTTGTAACAGTAATACTTTTAAAATAGGCCATACATTGATAGAGTTCATGAGAACTATGATAAGTACAAGTATGATTTAAGGGTTATCAAATCTCCCTAATTTCTATAATATTATGTCTAAACAAATCTGTATATATACAAGCAAAAAATATTTAATTAGATGTGAGCTTGTGTGAAATACAGCTTCATTAAATGAAAGAGAAACCTCTCAGATGTCTAAGCTTTTTAAATGTGGGCTTGAAAACATTAAATAATAAATAACCACTAATAAGAATAATGCATTGTAGTAGCAAAAATATATTTGTATAATGTTGAAAAGAAAGCACTGTTAGCCATGATACTGACAAACACATTTATAGTTCCAGATTCCATTGGTTCCTCTGGCATATGGGAGCAGTTATTTGCAATTCAGATAAAGTAGCTTTTCATTTGAATACTGAGCAGGTTTATTCTAGAAATATTCCACTACTTCCGAAATAATCATCTCAGTCTTGATGACTATAGCTTAAACATATTCGTTTGCCTGGTTCATTCAGATGGGTTTGTGCTTTGGATCTGAAACCCTAAAGTGTTAATCAGTTTGAAATGTTTTGGCACTTGCCATTTGAAACATGAGAAATACGAAGAAATTCTGTTGCAGCAAGGTCTTAAGCTTTTAAAATTAGCACCCCTCCCGGTTTTCCCAAAGTCATGCTGTGAATGAGTTTTTAGTTAATGCTTCTTGGGATTTATTCTTGAACTGTAATTTTATCAAATGCAGACGGAATTGTCTTTGGGAATTTAGCAGAATACTCTTTTCACCACTCATTTAAAAATATTTTTATTTTATATGGCAGGGGCTCTTTGGAGGTTGGGGGAAACCAACTGCAGAAAATTGCAGGTTTCAGAAGACAGCTCTGAAATCGCAGACACCCGATTTCTCCCTTGCACAGTCTTTCTTTTTTACTCACACTTCCAATAGAACAGGATTTCTACAGCTCATATGGTTTTGTACAAAGACTTAAAAGGGTCACTTGAAACGTTTACAGATGAGAGGGCTCACATAAACTTCCCCCTGACAGATACTAAGAGCCACTTCTCGCCACAAATGTATTCAAGAGATACTTTAGCTATATTTCTAAAAGAGTTTTTTTCTCCTACAGCGCCTTGTGAAGGCAAGGCCTTCCTTGAGCTAAAGCAGCATTAACTGCCTGGCATTTCATCCATCCTCTCTTAAAATTGAAAGACAATTTGCTCTTCAAGTGGACTATTTTTTCTGTTCTATAAACCCATCACTATAACCATGGGATTTAATATTTGTTAGTCTATTTTGCATAAAGGATAAGGTTGGACCAAAGTATCATCAGTTAATATTAATGCACAAGCAGCTTACGGAAAGTTGGGGTTCTCATTCTTTCTAGAGAAACTCTTAAATTTCTTTTGTGTAGTTGTTGGTGTGTGGGCGCGAGCGCATGCGCGCGCGTGTGTGGGAGGGGGTGGGGTAGAATTAGATGTGTAAAAAAAAAAGCAGCTCTTTTCCATTCCAGTCACAACTAAAGTTCAAACAAAACTCTCAGCATCCTGGTGGAAGCCAGGAGGTGTTTAAGAGACAGCTTCGCTTAACGTTTCTTTCTCTTGTTCATAAAGTAGCGTTTTCCGGAGGAGATGGGTGACCGAGATCCGCACGGGACCAGTCTCGGCGGCGGGACCGGGTGGATCGCTGGCACGGGATTCTGGAAAGGGTGGGGAGCAGGTCCCAACGACCCTTCGCGGCCGGTGCCGCACTAAGGAGAATCCCAAGTCAGATGCTTCCCGAAAGACCCCAGAAAGAAAAGCGGTCCCTCCCTGGCCGTCATCCCCCGGACAGGAGGGCTGTCTTGCCCCGCGCCCCGGGGCCCTGCACTGACCTGTGTAACAGGACGCGCTGCACGGAGTCCAGGTCCTCCAGGCTGCGGGGGGCAGGTTTGGGGATGCTGGATCTGCCCACCTGAAACATGCCCACTGGTGACTCGCTGCAGGGGCGGTGAAGGTCACCCGGGTCTCAGCCCCGGCGCCGCGGGGAACCTGGAGCTGCCAGGCTCCGACGCGCGGAAGCTGAGGGGTGAAGGCGGCAGTGTCAGCGACTGCGGCCCCTCCTTCGTCCGCTTGCTCCCCCGCCGGTCTCGGAGCCCCGCGCACTGGCGGGCGGCGCGGCCACTCCTCGCTGTGGGGGCCCGGGACAGGTGGGCGCTCAGTGGGCCGCCACCCTGCCAGGGGTCGCGAAGTCCAGGCTGTCACCTCTACCACGTCTGGGTATCCCCGGTCTGTTCCACTGGCCCAACCACACAGCCCGTCTCCGCGCCCGGGGCGAGCCGTCGAGCGTCTCGGGACCCGGTCGCCAGGCGCTGCGCTCTTTCGCCGCCTAGTGCGGGATGCAGCTCTTCACCCTCCCTTCCAGGACAGCGAGGCCGCCTCGGCCAGGGACACCGGCGTCCCGGCGCCGCCCCCAGTGAAGGAGGCTACCACCTGCAGCTTCCAAGGCCACAAACATGGGAGGAGTGGAGGAAACTCTCAAGGGTCTCTGAGGCTCTGGCTGCTCTGTGGAAGACACAAAAATGAGTGGGTAACAGAGGCAAGTTAGTTGTCTGTGCTTAGTGGGAAGTTGAATTCAGCCTAAAGAAGCCATATACATTATACATTAATCCATCCATCCAAACATGTATTATCACCTGCTATGTGCCAGGCTGAGTTCTAGTCCTTGGAGGTACAAGAATGAATAAAAGGTGGACTCTAACTTGTCTACTGTGACTCTATTCTCTTTGAGGGGGGTGGGGGGAGATATATTTGCTTTAAAATATCCTTGACCCCGGGAGAGAGTCTCTACTCCAGGGAATTACATATTTCAGTGAACCGTTCTGTGGCCTGTGGTTTTCCCATCGTGGGAAAAATGACGCATGTGTGACTTCTCACTCTAGACCGTTCTTAAGTCAGAACTGGCCAGAATGGTAAGGGGAACCATTAAAGGAGAATAAACAGAGAAACTGGAGCGTAGTAGTTTAAAATGTGAGCTCCCATAGGTTATAGATTACAGATTAATGACAAACGGTAATAGATTAATTTTAAACTTTAGGGTAGTTAGCTGGGACTTGGCTACTCACTGTAGGACCTCTAAATGTCATTATCTGCAGATCTTTTCTCTTGGGTCCATTTCTCCAATCACGAATGTCTTCCTGGCTGCCAAGTGGCTTAAGAGGGTGAATGATGGAGGCCCCATCTCTTAGCATACAGACCTTTACTTAATTCCTGTTTTCAATAAGGTGCCTTACCCCTGGTCTACACTCTACCTGTGTTCTTAAGTCTACTGCATCAAGAATCTGAAAATGTTCATATCTTTTGATTCAAAAATTAATCTCAAGGAAATGATAAAAAATGAGGGTCATGATGTTCATTGCAGTACATTATTATAGCAAAAAAACAAATGAAAGGTATAAATGTCCAAAATTAGTATAACTACCTACATAGGTTAAAGTTCATTCATACAATGATCCAATATATGTTTATTAAAAGGAAGTTTAAATACAGTGCTTAATGGCATAAGAAAATATTTATGATTTAGACTTTAGTAAATATTCAGGTGATAAAAGTGTATATTCAGTTTTGTGTTGCTATGCAAAAATTGGGAAATTGGAAGGATATGCACTGAATCTTAAAATGATTATGTCTGTAAGTAAAATTATGAATGATTTTTTTTTCTTGTACTTTTCCATGTTACTTTTTAAACAATAAATATATATTATTTTTATAATAAAAATGTATTCAAATGTAAATGTGTAAAAGAATGATTTATAGTCCCAACTTGGGAGGCTGAAGTGGGAGATACTTTGAGCCCAGAAATTCAAGGTCACCCTAGGCAACATAGCAAGACGCCCTCTCTAAAAAACAAAACAAAAAAAAACCCAGATTGATTTGAAGAATAGTTGGTGACAACTGAATTTGTGGGTAAACATTTCCAATTATTATCTATTTCAGATTGCCATTCTCAGATATATGTAAGTGGTTTTGCAAAATATTTGATCATTTAAGGGTATAAAAGTAGCCTACATTTTAAAAAAGGACCATTACAAATATTTTATATAGAGAAGTTATTTTGTAAATCAGATAATTGCTACTTTATTTACTATAATAATTTATCTTTTGTTTGAAACTACTAGGTAAGTTTTTCTTCTGACTTTAGATTTTGTGAAAAGTCCATGTTCTCACTTACAAGTGGGAGCTAAAATGCTGTACTCATAGACATAGAGATGGCAACAATAGACATTGGGGACTATTAGAGGGGGAAAGGAGGCAGGGAGCTAGGCTTGAAAAACTGTTGGATACTGTGCTCAGTACACGGGTAGTGGGATCATTCGTATCCCAACCCTCAGTATCACCTAATATACCCAGCTAACAAACCTGCGCATGTACCCCCCGAATGTAAAATAAAAGTTGGAAAAGAAGTCAGTAGTAAACATTACAAATGTTTTGTGTGAAAAGTTTATGATGTTATAAATCACTATTCAATTACATGTTCAAAATAAGTATTCATTTACATATGTATTCTTAAAGTAGGATTTATCCATAGCTACTTCTTGGCAACAAAATATTCTATATGTTTAAATTTATTCTAGAGAATGACAACTTATACCTCATAACAGAATAATTAATTTTATATGAAAACTTTTACCACTAAAAGACTCTGGCCATGTTTTGATGTGTGTGTGTGCGTGTGTGTGTGTGTGTGTTTGTGTGTGTGTGATATGCATTTTTTTTGAGTTGGAGTTTTGCTCTTGTTGCCCAGGCTGGAGTGCAGTGGTGCAATCTCAGCTCACTGCAACCTTTGCCTCCTGGGTTCAAGCAGTTCTCCTGCCTCAGCCTCTTGAGTAGCTGGGACTACAAGCACCCATCACCACGCCCAGCTTTTGTATTTTTATTAGAGACAGGGTTTCATCATGTTGACCAGCCTTGTCTCGAACTTCAGACCTCAGCTAATCCATCTGTTTCAGTCTCTCAAAGGGCTGGAATTACAGGCATAAGCCACTGGGCCTGGCCTATGTTTGTATATTAATTGGATTGTTTCAAAAGTTCCTTATAGCAACTGATAAAGAAAAGAAGAGAAAATATTTGCAACGTGTATTTTGAGATGATCACCCAGTATAGAGGGAGAGGTTGATGATTTAATAGAAAAATGGGATCATTGGTACTGCAAAGTCCCAGAGTTAGGAGAAAATGCTATCTTAATGCACAACTGCAGGTCTCACCTTGGACTAGAAGAAGCACATTCCGTTATTATTATTGCCATAATTTTCTGCATTTCACAATAGAGATTTTTAAATGAAAATTGACAGCTACCAGATAAATCAGGACAGAGCCATACCTTTTCAGTAATTTTAGGTATCCTTATCCTTTCTGACCTTTATCAATAATGGTTTCCATAATGATTTTTAGACTTTGCCTTGGAGATATAAATACCTTTTTAAAAAAAGAACAAACCACCTTAGTTCTAGGCTCATAGAATATTGGTACTATTTTTTAATGCATCATGTGTTAACGGGTCTCCTCTATTAGATTCTAAAGCTTTCTGGGGTCAAATAATGTCAAGAAGCTTTAGAATCTATTAGATAGTACATCATTTGACCTCAAGCATCCATATATATTGAATGGCTGGATCCTGGATCATGCTTGCTTCTGAAGGAAATATCCTGGGTCAATTCAATATTGACCTGAAGTTTGAGAGACCTATTTTCACTGGCTTGCTACAGGTTTCTATACTTAACCTAGTTCTATTTAATTTAATAAATGACATTAATGCAAATAGGGAAGGTATGCTCACTAAAATTGCAGTGGATGAAAAATTGGAAATGTATTGGCTCTTATAAAATTTCTGGAGTCTGGAAACCCTAATTCAAAATAGAAAAAGTATGTGTATGTATTATTGCACACATTTTAAAAATAATTAGATCAGGAAAGGAAAGCAAACAGGCTTAGCAGCCATTCAAGTGTAAAAGATGCAGGCAAATTATTGAATTGCAATATGAACAACAGGGTTAAAGTGGCTACCATCGTACACTACTCAAGTACCATATACATTTCTGTCTTCTGTGCACCAGATGTAAAAAACACATTGTGGCTAAAGGAGTGAATTAGGATCCATCAAACCTACCAGTCTCTCATAGATCTCCTGATTTTACTTTCTTCTGTGGTCTGTCACCCTCTTGGAAATTCTAGAGCATTGCTACTTGAAAGGTGGTTAGGAAAAAAACCTCATTCAGTAGAATTGTCTGAGAATTCTTGGCACCTCTTTTCTTTTTCTTTTTTAGACATTCAGGGTGTGTGTGTGCAGTTTTGTTACATGGATATACTGTGTAGTGGTAAAGTCTAGGCTTTTAATGTACCCATCACCCAAACAGTGAACATTGTACCCAGTAGGTAATTTTTAGATCCTCACCATTCTCCCACACTTCCTGCTTTTGGAGTACCTGGTGTCTACTACTCCCTGTCAATGTCCATGTATACCTGATATGGTTTGGCTTTGTGTCCCCACCCAAATTTCATGTTGAATTGTAATTCCCAGGGAGGGACCTGGTGGGAGGTGGTTGCATAATGAGGTTGGATTTCCCCTTTCCTGTTCTCATGATGGTGAGTTCTCATGATATTTGGTTGTTTGAACGTGTGCAGCACTTACCCCTTCACTCTGTCTCTCCTGCGAGCCATGTGAAGACCTTGCCTGCTTCCCCTTTGCCCTCTATCATGATTGTAAGTTTACTAAGGCCTTCTCTTCAGAAGAAGGCTGTACAGCTTGCAGAACTGTGAAGTGATTAAACTTCTTTTTTTTTTTTTTTGAGACGGAGTTTTGCTCTTGTTACCCAGGCTGGAGTGCAATGGCGCAATCTCGGCTCACTGCAACCTCCGCCTCCTGGGTTCAGGCAATTCTCCTGCCTCAGCCTCCTGAGTAGCTGGGATTACAGGCACGTGCCACCATGCCCAGCTAATTTTTTGTATTTCAAGTAGAGACAGGGTTTCACCATGTTGACCAGGATGGTCTCGATCTCTTGACCTCGTGGTCCACCCGCCTTGGCCTCCCAAAGTGCTGGGATTACAGGTGTGAGCCACTGCGCCCGGGCAAACTTCTTTTCTTTATAAGTTACCCTGTCTCAGGTATGTCTTTATAGCAGAGTGAGAATGGGCTAGTACAGAACCCACTGCTTAGCTCTCACTTATAAATGAGAAGTTGTGGTATTTGATTTTCTGAGTTATTTCACTTAATGGCCTTCAACTGTATCCATATTGTTGCAAAACACGTGATTTCATTTTTTATGGCTGCATAGTATTCCATGGTGTATATATACCACATTTTCTTTATTTAATCATCCATTGATTAACACTTAGGTTGATT